CACCATCCTGGTGGCTGCCACAACTGTCCCTTGACCACCTTCCCTCTCCACACACAGGACACAAACCCTTCTGCTGTGCTGTTATTTTTGGGGAAAATAAGTAACTCTAATTTCCTAATAACAAAGTAAAACCAGCTGATCTACTGCTGTATTCAAAATAAAGTTTTGATGTGTGGTTAGTGACATTTTCTTGACCAACCACATTTGAGCTTATGGCTTCTTTTGGGATGATTTTAACTAAATTTGATAGCTTGGTATACAAGATTCATCTGTGTTACATGCTTGTAAAAGTACCAGCCTGTGTTCTGAGAACACCAAGCTGTCTGCAAGGAGGCAGGTCACTGAAACCTTCCAATTCCACCATGAATTATTTGTAGTCACCCTACATGGCCTGAAACAGCAAAGCTGGCTTGCTCGAGGCCAGTTCCAGCAGCTATATGGAAATCCACAGCCCTGGTTTATACACACGCTGTGGAACACAAAAAAACAGGAATCCTCTGCCTTGGGATACTCCATGGTTTGAAGACACTGAGCAGGGCCAGAGTTTACAAAAATCCAGATGTGCTATGGTACAGGACAGCTGTGAGGCAGGATGGGTGTGTGAGTGATTCTGCCCCCAAGCTCAGCTGCATCACCAGCCTTTTCCCAAGGTCTCACCCACGCTCCATCCCAAAAAGCTTTTGGTCCTAACAGTTTATGAGCTGGCAATTATTAAATTCACAGAAACATATAAAATTCATAGAACATCCTGAGTTGGAAGGGATCCATAAGCATGGAGTCCAACTCCCAGCCCTGCCCAGACCCTCCAACAATCCCACCCTGAGCATCCCTGAGAGCGCTGTCCAAACACTCCTGGAGCTCTGGCAGCCCCAGGGCTGGGGACCATTCCCTGGGGAGCCTGGGCAGTGCCAGCACCCTCGAGGGGAAGAACCTTTCCTGATACCCAGCCTGAACCTCTCCAGACACAGCTCCAGCTGTTCCCTCAGCTCCTGCCCTTCATCCAAGAGGGCAGAGATTGCTGCTGCCTCTTGGGAAGAAGCTGCAGACCCTGCTGAGTCTCCCCTCACACTCTTCAATGTTTTTAGCTCACGTCTGTTGTCACCACCCCAAACCCCACACCTCCATAAAGCTCCAGATTTACAGACTGGAGGACACTATGGTCCATCCCCACTGGAATGCAAAGTCACTCCAGCACAGCCAGGTGACAGCACAAACCACCAGCCTGTTTTTTGGCCAGGTGAGTCTGTCCAGCAAGAGCAGTGAGATCCTGACAGGCACAGCACCACTCCCCACAGGGATCACCTCAGGAGCAGAAAGTTGGATAATGATTCCTCAGAAGTTGCAGCTGTATAAGAAGTTTTAACCAAGTGTTCCGCCTCACTACTTCCTGGAAGAATTCTAGTTCCTAATTTATTCTTTGTTGCTACAAACATGCTGCTGGAGCAAGCAAATCAACTCAGGATTAGTAAAAAAGCATGTACAGGTATTTTAAAACCACCAAAACTCACCAAAAGCACAAACTCTTTGCCTACATAAATAATCTGGGGTTTGATTAATAGCTGTGATCAACACCTCAGCAAAGCTCCCATCAGCTGCAGGACAGAAGGATCAAGATCAGCACTTCATCCAAACCAGCCCCAAGTACTAATTAATTAAAACAACACCCACAAGGTCCCTTCTCTACCCATGCCAACACACCTGCAAGGCTTACAGCTTCCGCAAGTGTTTTCTCTGAAAATCTCTGCCTAGAAAAGCAGCTAAATTCATAAGTTCCCATCCAGACTTGCCTCTCACAACCAGAGCTTCCTTCCAAGGGCTGAGTTTGCTCTACACTCTCACCCTTCTGAGCACTTTTGGGGGAGGAGAATAAAGAAAATTTCCCTCTCTGATTAACCCCCAATCCTTCCCTATCTGATTACAGCTCAGGAGCACAGCCTGTGACTGGGAAAAAACTCTGGGACAGCGAAGGATGCTCAGAAGGGGAACTGATTATATTCCATGGAAAAACCTGGAGCATGGCACTCACCTACAGCTCGGGAAGTCAGATCTGATCAGGTCTCTCCTAAGGCATCACACAGTGATTAAGGCCCAGGAGGAAATAAAAACACTTTCAGCGCAAAACCCACATATTTAAACAGGCCTCATTCAATGTGTGTTGGAATTGGATCATCTCTAAGGGCCCTTCCATCCCAAACCATTCCAAAGTGATATTCCAATCACTTATCCTGCCTCCTGTATTTTTAGGATTTACAAATTAAGAACATGCAGTAAATAAGCAGCTTACAAAGCAGGGCAAGCAGCACGGGACAAGTGGTTCTTGTTTCCAGTTTCAAACAAGGTGACCAGTCCTGATGGGCAAATTCTGTGCCAAAACTTGCACTGGAAGAACCAGACAAGGATTTTTAATTTGGTTTTTGCTACTTTGAGTTCTATCATGCCCAAGTCTACAACCTGATAATTTCAATGTCACCAGGGTACAGCTCTCAAGCGGAATAATACTGAGTGCAACTGGAAGATCTCTAAGGTCCTTTTCCAACCCAAGCCTTGCTATAATTCTCAAAGCACGTCAGAAGAACCAGACCTGTGTCAGGTTTTCGGTTTGAAGCCACAAAATCCCCTGGAACGCTTAAACCCGGGATTTTCCTGCCCGGAAGTGAGCAGAGGACAGCAGAGGGGAGCTCGGGAGGGCAGCCCTGCGGGGGAACACGGAGGGCAAGGGGAGGCTCCTGGTGCCGCCTTTGTCCCACCTTCTTCCCCCTCTCTCCACCCCAAGCCCCTCAGGGCAGCCCTGAGGAGTCACCAGAAGAAAGTCCCCAGCGGGGTCACAGAATCACAGAACAGATCCTCAAGGACCATCGAGTCCAATTCCTGGCCCTGCACGGAACTCCTCAACAATCCCACTCTGCGCCTGAGAGCGCTGTCCAAGCGCTCCTGGAGCTCTGGCAGCCTTGGGGCCGTGACCATTCCCTGGTGAGCCTGGTCACTGCCCCAGCATCCTCGGGGGGAAAATCCCTTCCCTGATCGCCACCCTAAACCTCCCCGGACACAGTTCCAGCCATTCCCTCGGGTTCTGTCACTGGTCCCAGAGACAGGAGCTGCCCCTCTGCTTCCCCTCACGAGGAAGTTTTAGACTACGATGAGGTCTCCCCTCAGTCTCATCTCCTCCAAGCTGAACACAACAAGTAACCTCAGCCGCTCCTAAGGTTTCCCCTCAAGACCCTTCACCATGTCCGCTGCCCTCCTTTGGACGCTCTCTAACACCTCGGTATCTTTCTTATATTGTGGCGCCTAAAACTGCATTCAGAACTCAAGGTGAGGCCGCACCAGCAGAACGGGACAATCCCCTCTCTCGACCGGCGTGTTGTCCCCCCGCCCCGCGTCCCTGCGTCAGGTGACAGGCGAGGAGGACACGAAGGGACACGAGGTGGGACGCGGGTGGGACACGGAGGGGGATCCGGTGCGGGCGGGCGCGGGAAGCGCCGCGGGCGGGTGACCTTGGGCGCGCGCACCTGCCGCAGCCCCGCGCGCGCGCCAGTCACGTGACGGGAGGGGGGGTGTGCGCCCTCACGGCCCCAACATGGCGGGACCG